GCCAAAAAGAAGTTATTCTAGCCTCGGTATGGTAGTAGTGGCTAATTTGAATTGTTAAATCCAAAAAGGGCCATGGCTCAAGTTCTAAAAAGTCACGGGATCTCGATACAACAACCACCAGGTCTCGATGCAATGTTGGTTTGAAAGAGGTCCTAAAGGATAGAGAAAGAGATATGGGTAGAACCCATCCTAAATAACGTATTCTCTCCATCTAAAAAAACTTATTTTTTCAGTTTTTATACAACGTTTGATTTTTTGTGTTTAGTATTTTTATTGTTATTAGATGTTAAAATATGAATAGTACTTTATATGTGTCTATTTTTTAGTTTAATTTAAAAATTTTTAAATAAGACGGATGGTCAAACGTTGGATACAGAAATAAAAAATATAGTCTCTGTGAGACGAAGGGAATACATGTTTTTTCAACTGTCTACGTAGAGATCAGTACCAATATAATGTCTGGTCCTGAAAGAGAGAGAGTCCAATATTCTTTATCTAACCGTAGTGGTTTCACCCATATCACCTCTAAGGGCCTCTTTGAACAGTAGAAATGAAAAAAAAATAGAGAAACAGAAAAAAAACGTAAGATTCTAATAGTAATGCAAGTGCAAAACAGATAATTGCAAAACACAGGAAGAATATTGTAATGGCCGTTTAATTGAACCACAGGAAAAATACAAGAATCGTAGAGAAAGATAGACTTAAAGAAAAATTTCCAAGAGGTTAGAGCTCTTGCTAAATTTTCTCCATAATCTCTATTGGATTGTTCATTCCATAGTAATTTCAATGGATATGATAGGATTCAATCACTTGTTTCAAAAGGTTTCATATAAAATTTTTCTATAGGATTAAAATGCTCCAAGATTTCTATGTTTTTTCTCTAAATAAAAAGGGTCCTAAGAGTTTTTATACACTGCAGAGTTTTTCACAAGGTGCTATCTTTACTGTGGAGCCTATTTATAGGACTTTGTATAGGAACAAACATTACACATGCTCTAGATACCTCCTCCACCCTAAACAAAGCAATTTAGAATGAGATGTGACATATTCTTCATTTTAGGATAAAGGTTGTACAGACGCCCACCACTTCACACTTCACATAACCTGTGGCGAAGAACTAGTGCTGCCATCCTGACACGGACACAACGTTCTCGCATACTATCTGGGCCCTGTTTATCACAGCCTCGCCCGGCCAGCCGGCCTGCCACTTGCGCCATATTTAAAGGGCAATGCATCTCATGCCCTGTTTAAATCCCACTTCAAAATTTTTCACTCTGTCATATTAAACGTTTGAACACCTGCATAAAATATTAAATATAAAATAAAAAATAACTAATTACATAGATTGCGACTAATTTGTGAGATAAATCTTTTAAATCTAATTCCTCCATGATTTGACAATGTGGTGCTACAGTGAACATTTACTAATGACAGATTAATTAGGCTTAATAAATTCGTCTCATGATTTTCTGACGGATTCTGTAATTAATTTTTTATTAGTGCTCGAACACTCCATGCAACACTATATATATAGGCCTAGTTTAGTTCCCGAAATTTTTTTCCCAAAAACATCACAACGAATTTTTTTACACATACATGAAGCATTAACTATAGACTAAAAGAAAAACTAACTGCACAGTTAGGGGGAAATCGCGAGATGAATCTTTTGAGCCTAATTTGTCCATGATTAGCTATAAGTGCTATAGAAACACACACGTGCTAAGGACGGATTAATTAGGCTCAAAAGATTCGTCTCACGGTTTACAGGCGAGTTATGAAATTAGTTTTTTTATTTATGTGCAAAAACCCCTTCCGACATCCGATGTAACACAAAAAAAATTTCGGAAACTAAAAAGTCCCATAATAACCGATATGACACGCTAAAACTTTACACCTTAGATCTAAACACTCCCCCCCCCCCCCCCTCAGCTACACGAACATAAAATGCACACCACCAAACCCATTCTCTGATTTCTTCTGCCAACTGAAATCCCAGTTCATTTCAACTCAGTTCAAGGGTCATATGTGACACGTCATCACACATCTATTCCATGGATGCATCAGCGATGCACTATTGTACGAGCTTGGTGTTGCTACGGCCTCATCTAGCCAAACGCATCGACCCGGTCTTCTCGTGGTTTCTCTCACTCACTGACACATGAGAATATGAGATGGACCAACTAACGTTCCATTTAGGGATGTTCCTTTCTTTAGGCTATATTTGAGACAAACACAATTTGAAGAAAAAATCCTCCTTTTTCACCTACACACTTTCTAAATTAATAAAGGGAGTGTTTTTAAAAATGTTTCTATAGAAAAGTTACTTTCAAAATTATTTTGATTAAGTTTTTAAGTTTTAAATATTTAATAATCAAATTATAATACACAAATGACTCTCATTGTTTTACCTATCTTCTTAATTTTTTATGTGTTCGGCCGGAACAGTTAGGGGCAACAACTGAACCAAACAGGCAAACAACCCCTTCTCTTTTCCCCCTCCTCTTAAATTATGGTCCGTGATGTTCACTAAAAGTCATGAGATTTCATGGAAACTATTCCAAACTCTCGAGAGGTCACAAAAATTTTAAAAAGTTCAGCAAGATAAATATATGATAGATCAATTCACAAACATGTAAGATAAAATTTAACTTTTACATGTTGCAATGAGAAAATTAAATTAAATTTATTTTATTTTGCAACTATTAAAAGTTAAATTTTAACTTGCGTGTTTTGTAAAGTGATATATCACATATAAATACATATTTTTAATTTTTTTATAATTATTTAAGTGCCATGAAAATAAGGGATGTCCTTCGAGAGTTTAAAATCCACCCTCGAGGTTTCAGAGATTCTCCATTCTCTCGTTTACGTGGAGCAGAGCACAGCCTGTGTGCGATAACTGAACAAACGAGGAACAAGGGTGCCAAAGATTAAGATAGAAAAAGACGCAGAATTATTCAGTTTTGTCTGTTGCATGGGATTAAACATGGCCACATGGGACATTTGTGGCAACTGCTCTTCAGATGAGTGTGTAGACGCGGGAGACTGACAAGAGAACGCCTGACCGACGAGGACTCGATCGGACGCTAGCATGGACTTGACCGAGAGCCGGCATGTTTAGTTTAGTACATGATGTGAATCACGTGAACGAAAGGGATGAGATAAGAACATGACACGCTCAGCTGGGGTGTTCTGCAGTGGTGCCCCATTAGTAAGACGCAGCAGTAGCTAGTTGGTGCGTGGCCGGAAATCCTAATTGGCGATTGATCACCTGGGACGCGGATCCCCCTCCCCCTATCTCCCTCCACCTGGTTTCCTTTTTTGACACCACATTATTTTCCTATTTTAGTAAATTTATGCACCTAAAGTTTATATACCTTAAGTTTACACATCTAAAGTTTATACACCTTAGGTTTACACATTAAAGTTTAGAGACCAAAAGTTTATAAATCAAAAGTTTTTATATCCGATTCAAATTTGAATTTAAATTCAATATTTTTATATATAGTATTTCTATACATCTAAAGTTTATAGACCCAAAGTTTCTAAGTCAAAAGTTTACATACCCGATTCAAATTTAAATTTGAATTATATCTGATTCAAATTTAAATTTGAATTCAAATATTTTCTATAGTATTTTTATGCATCTAAAGTTTATAGACCTAAAGTTTGTAAGTCAAAAGTTTACATAGCCGATTCAAATTTGAATTTGAATTCAAATATTTTCTATATATAGTAATTCTATACATCTAAAGTCTATACACCTAAAGTTTATAGGTCAAAAGTTTACATACCCGATTCAAATTTGAATTTAAATTCAAATTTGAATTTGAATTCAAATTTTCTATATATAATATTTTATAAATAAATTTTTCTAACTTTTTGTTTTTTAAAAAAATTTTGTGTGGTGTACTGTAGTAGGAAGAGAAGAAGGGGAGGAGGAAGAGGGGAGAGGAGGGAAGAGTGTATGGAGTATAGGGGAGGGGGGGCTGATCGCTTGGGGCGATCGCCTGGCGATCGATCGCCCATTAGCCCCCCCCCCCCCCCCTACGCTCAGATGGTGGCCGTCGCGCCTACTGACCTACGTATGGAAATGAAGCGGAGACTTGTTCGGCGACATTGACTGGAACGTGGTCTTATGTGTGCGCACAATCATATTCAGGTCTCGCTGATATGTTCCCCCCCCCCCCCCACGCTCAGATGGTGGCCGTCGCGCCTACTGACCTATGTATGGAAATGAAGCAGAGACTTGTTCGGCGACATTGACTGGAACGTGGTCTTATGTGTGTGCACAATCATATTCAGGTCTCGCTGATATGTTCAAACTAGTAAATACCTTTTGAATATCTTCGCCGGCCCGGCCCCGGTGAACGAAATGCATTCTGAATAGGGCATGCACCGAGCAACGAATACTGAATTGCAAATTGTTTCAGCTAGCTTTACAAAATTTGACCGGTTGTTCTATCAAAAAAAAAATTTGACCGGTTATTTCCTGAGAAGTTAGACTCATCAAACATTATTTTTTGGGGCACTAAAGGCAGAAGCCATGTCTCGTTCGTTTGATAAAAGAAATGATACACATTGACCAAAAAAACCGGATCACTTCCATCCATAAAAAAAAGGAGTGGTAGTCAGTCATAGCAATTCTCTCCAGGACGAGGAGTACCAAAAGCAGCAGCACTGTGACGACTGACGAAGTGACGAGCACGAGCCAGGAACGGGAGACCGGGCAGCCGCAGACGCAGCAAGTCCGTCGCGCCCCCCCCCCCCCCCCCACCCCACCAACACCCCGTGCCGCGCAGGCGCGCACCAACCACCACACAGCCACAGCGCCGCACACGAAACTTCCACACCGCAGAGCCCAAAAACCTCCCGTTTTCTCTCCTACTCCGCGACGCGGTGACCGTGTGCTCTCGCCTTGGATCACCAGACCATCACCAACCCCCCTCCGTCATCCGTCCTGCAGGCCACCCACCCGCCTATTTAAGCCGCGCCTCCCCCTCCATTCCCCTCCAAGAAGAGCCGCACCATCCAGTGCAGTAGTACACTAGCTCTTCTTCACAACAGCTAATCGAGTAGCTAGAACCATTATATACTCTTCTCTCGACGCTTTCTGTGCTAGGTTAACCGATCCATCTTCTGGTACTGAAATGGAGTGCGAGAACGGCCGCGTTTCTGCCAATGGCATGAGTGGTCTCTGCGTCGCGGCGCCCCGCGCCGACCCGCTGAACTGGGGGAAGGCCACGGAGGAGATGACGGGGAGCCACCTCGACGAGGTGAAGAGGATGGTGGCGGAGTACCGCCAGCCTCTGGTCAAGATCGAGGGCGCTAGCCTGAGGATCGCGCAGGTCGCCGCGGTGGCCGCGGCCGGCGAGGCCAGGGTGGAGCTCGACGAGTCGGCCCGCGAGCGCGTCAAGGCCAGCAGCGACTGGGTGATGAACAGCATGATGAACGGCACGGACAGCTACGGTGTCACCACCGGTTTCGGCGCCACGTCCCACAGGAGGACCAAGGAGGGTGGTGCTCTGCAAAGAGAGCTCATCAGGTGAGGATTAGGATTCCAAATAAGCAGTAACGTTTACCTGGTCACTGCGATTAGTTCAGTTTACTGTGCAAATTCTTTGGACGCCTTCTTAATTATAAATTTGCTTGTTTTCTCGGCAGATTCCTCAATGCCGGCGCGTTCGGCACTGGCACCGACGGTCATGTTTTGCCGGCGGAGGCAACCCGCGCGGCAATGCTCGTCCGCATCAACACACTCCTCCAGGGATACTCCGGCATCCGGTTCGAGATCCTCGAGGCGATCGCCAAGCTGCTCAACGCGAACGTCACACCGTGCCTGCCGCTCCGGGGCACGATCACCGCCTCCGGTGACCTCGTCCCGCTGTCCTACATTGCCGGCCTTGTCACTGGGCGCGAGAACGCCGTGGCGGTTGCACCAGATGGCAGCAAGGTGAACGCCGCTGAGGCGTTCAAGATTGCTGGCATCCAGGGCGGCTTCTTCGAGCTGCAGCCCAAGGAAGGCCTTGCCATGGTCAATGGCACTGCCGTGGGCTCTGGCCTTGCATCGACCGTGCTCTTTGAGGCTAACATTCTTGCCATCCTCGCCGAGGTCCTCTCGGCCGTGTTCTGCGAGGTGATGAACGGCAAGCCGGAGTACACCGACCACCTGACTCACAAGCTCAAGCACCATCCAGGACAGATCGAGGCCGCCGCCATCATGGAGCACATCTTGGAGGGAAGCTCCTACATGAAGCATGCCAAGAAGCTTGGTGAGCTCGACCCACTGATGAAGCCGAAGCAAGACCGGTACGCGCTCCGGACATCCCCACAGTGGCTCGGCCCTCAAATTGAGGTTATCCGCGCCGCCACCAAGTCCATCGAGCGTGAGATCAACTCCGTGAACGACAACCCGCTCATCGACGTCTCCCGCGGCAAGGCGCTGCACGGTGGCAACTTCCAGGGCACGCCCATCGGCGTGTCCATGGACAACACCCGCCTCGCCATCGCTGCCATCGGCAAGCTCATGTTCGCGCAGTTCTCGGAGCTCGTGAACGACTTCTACAACAACGGCCTGCCATCCAACCTGTCTGGCGGTCGCAACCCGAGCTTGGACTACGGGTTCAAGGGCGCCGAGATCGCCATGGCCTCCTACTGCTCCGAGCTGCAGTTCTTGGGCAACCCAGTGACCAACCACGTCCAGAGCGCCGAGCAGCACAACCAGGACGTCAACTCTCTTGGACTCATCTCCTCCAGGAAGACCGACGAGGCAATCGACATCCTGAAGCTCATGTCCTCCACGTTCTTGATCGCCCTCTGCCAGGCCGTCGACCTGCGGCACATCGAGGAGAACGTCAAGAGCGCCGTCAAGAGCTGCGTCATGACGGTGGCCAAGAAGACACTCAGCACCAACTCCACCGGCGATCTCCACGTCGCACGCTTCTGCGAGAAGGACCTGCTCAAGGAGATCGACCGCGAGGCGGTGTTCGCGTACGCGGACGACCCGTGCAGCCACAACTACCCGCTGATGAAGAAGCTGCGCAACGTGCTCGTGGAGCGCGCCCTCGCCAACGGCGCGGCCGAGTTCAACGCCGACACCTCGGTGTTCGCCAAGGTCGCGCAGTTCGAGGAGGAGCTGCGCGCGACTCTGCCAGGTGCGATCGAGGCCGCACGTGCGGCTGTGGAGAACGGCACGGCGGCGATTCCCAGCAGAATCACCGAGTGCAGGTCGTATCCGCTCTACCGGTTCGTGCGCGAGGAGCTCGGAACAAAGTACCTGACCGGCGAGAAGACACGATCGCCTGGCGAGGAGCTGAACAAGGTTCTTGTGGCTATCAACGAAGGCAAGCACATCGACCCGTTGCTCGAGTGCCTCAAGGAGTGGAACGGCGAGCCCCTGCCAATCTGCTGAACTAGTGAACCGATTAGCTGAATAACAGTGGAGTGTGGAGGCGTGCGGTGTTGTTTTTATCTGGTGAATATTTTATTTTTACACTTATCTTTGTGTTACTCAAAAGAATTCTTCGTTGCATAGCGGCAAGCATGCAACAGCAAAACTTGGTACGAGTGGCAGGTTTCAAAAGCAACTAGTGTTGTAACATATAAGTTTTGGATATCAGAGTGTTGCAAATCATTAATTTTCATGGCAGAGTTCTTATTTTCCTTTTAGTTGTTTGTTTACTCCGAGTTTGACCTATCTGCGCACAATGTAATCCATACTGATTGGGTAAAATGTGCATAAATATGGCTTCAAAAAGAAATTTTCTTTTATTGAAAAGAAAATAATTGTAGTGACTAAATAATAACAGTTCAGAGATTTGACTTGTAAAACTATTCTAAACTCTCAAACGACACCCCTTTACATGTCATTTAAATAGTTATGAGAAAAATTAACATGATATATTAATACGTGATAAATCACTGCACAGGCATGCAATGTCAAATTTAACTTCTACATGTTACAACGAAAAAAAAACAAATTTAACTATGGATATATGTTAATTAGTCATAGTTTTTTTTAACTTGTAGACGTTGAATTTTAACTTTTATGTTTGCACAGTGATCTATCACATATTAATCTTTCATATTGAACTTATTAATTTGTTTTCACAACCATTTGGATGACATACAAATAACAATGAGATGTCCCCTCGATAGTTTAGAATCCATCCCCATTCGACTTGTTTCTTTTATATACCTTTAGTGGGGATTTTCATCCCACAAGGGAACATCCACTCATTTTTTTTATGTCACTTAAATGGTCATCAAGAAATTTGAAAGAAAATAACAATATAGTTTAATATGAAATATTACTCCATAAATATGCACGGTTAAATTCAACTTTTACAAGTTAAAAAAAATTAAACTGACATGTTAACGTATATTCACACTTATTTTTGTTATAATTTGTAGAAGTTGATTTTCAATTTATATGTATGTGGAGTGATATATTTTGTATCAATTTTTTTTTATTTTTTTATGACTATTTAGGTGACATGCAAAAAATGATAGGATATCCCATCTAGGGATAAAAACACGCTTTGACGGTTGTGATCTGTCTGACATGCCAATATGACTTTATGCTGATGAGTCTATATTGCAGTCAATGTGGCGTACTAAAATGTACTTCCTACGTTTCACGATGTAAGACTTTCTAGCATTGCCCACATTCATATAGATGCTAATAAATCTATATAAATATATAATTAGCATGGTGGCCCACGCAGATTGCGCGGCTAGCATCTTTATATTTTATCTCATATAATAGCATTTATGTTTTCTCATTATATTATTCAAATATATTAAAATGACAACATAATTTTAAATTTTACAATAACTTTACAAAACTACAATGTGTAATATTCATATTATATTTTATATGCGTGCTAGTTATTAATTATTTTTAATATCAAATTTTAGTTATTTGTAAATTATATATATTCCTATATGGACTCTAGACTCGTCTTTTAATATTTCTATTTTTTAATTCCGAATTTTCTGTAAATTCTATTTCTATATAGACTCTATGCTCTTCTTCCAATATTATTTATTTTTATTTCTGAATTTTTATTATTTCTAATTTTATTTCTATGTGGACTCTAAACTCATCTTTCAATATTCTTTAATTTTTAATTTCGAATTTCATTTACTTCTAAATTGTATTACTATATTTATATTCTATATTGACCTTAAACTCTTCTTCCCATGTTTTTCTTAATTTCAAATTTTAGTTATTTGTAAATTGTATTTTTATACAGACTCTAAACTCTACTTTTAATTTTATTATGTTTATCTAAATTTTAGTAAGTTTTAAATTCCTATATGGACTCTTGTCACACCCCAATCTGATACCGCCGTACAACGGCACCTGACAGGAGCGTGTCGTAGGGAAAACGGCGCGAACCGCTTCCTACGAAACCGCGATCTCGGTACCAGTCCCAGGACATAGTGCTGGTACCCACGGTGACAAATATGAATCATAGCAACCCTTAAAATAAATAGAGGACTTATTTACCTCAACTTAGGTTGCAGCTCAGACAGCCCGAGAATACAACCGACGACGCGGACGAGGAAACACCAGCAGCAGCAGCAGCAGCAGCAGCGGAACCAACGGTCTAACACCCAACACCACAGGCGACGGCTAGGAACCAGGACGAAACCCTAATCTTCACTTCACTTCATCATCTCTTCAGGGCGGAGGAACTATATGTATATATTTATATAGAGCAAGGGTGAGTACTTTCGTACTCAGCAAGTCACGGGAACTTAGGTGTTTAATGCAAGCTTGGAAGAGAGGCAAGGTTGTTTTGCAAATCTTTTATTTGAAGACATTTTAAAATCACTAAGTGATTTATTTCTTTCTAAGTTTGGGCCGAAAAGAGACTTGCATCTCGATTCGACTTTAAGAGATGTTTTTTTCAACAGCTCATTTAGTAATGTACCGACCTCCCGGGTCAGATCATTACTTCTCGGCTCCCAGAGTCATTCCACTTGATTAATCGGCTCCCAGAGTTTTTTTCATTTTCTCGGACTCCCAGAGTCCAGCTGCCTAGCAGCACAACAATCCGCTTCCACTCGGGAAGCCTAGTCTATGATGTCCGCAGACATCCCGAATCACACAGATTCGTTTCTTGACCACTCAGGTCATCCATCTGCCACATAGGCTGATTCTGGTTACGATTCCCACACCTAAACAACTTTTCACAAAGCACAGGCAAACAAATCTACGCAATGGGAACCACCTCACATCCGCCCATGACCGTGGGCACGGCTGTTCGAACAGTTAGTTAACCTCTGCAGAGGGGTACACTTTACCCACAAGATACGAACTTATTCCGATCACCCGTCGGTATCGGAGGTTCGCAACAAAGCCTTTCCCAAGCCGACCCAGGGTTACCTCATGCCACATAGAAGGATCAAATCCTCACATAAACATAGGCCATTTTAGGCGTTCACAAATCAAACTCCAACCACCTTGATCGGTAAGTGAGCAAGCTTCTCGTCCTTGCCTTACCAGGAACCCGGTTTGTCCGACCCCGCCCCGGCGTTCCCAACTATTGGCATGCGAGGTTTCCCTGAACCGACTAGTTACTTAGCCAGGGTGTCCCATTCCACCTTGTGGTTGCACTTTGATTATGTTCGATGAGTTTCCCACAGGAATCGGTCCTTATATGCGAATACGGGACAGTGCCACATAGGCACAACCCCCGCATCGCGAGTTTTCACAAATCATTTTATTTTCAAACACACCGACACCACATGTCGGGTTTTGAAGGCTTCACAAACCCATTTCCCAAGTTTTCGACAAACAACGGTGTATGTGGGATATTTGGTATACGCGCTCAAAGAGCACGAATACCGAGGTACCACAAGGGTGGAGCGACAAGGAAACAGGGTATTACGACCTACGGAAATTAGAGCGACTACTGGGTAGGTCCGTCGGTTTGGCACGCAAACCGAGGCCAAGCAAGTTAAGTGTGTGATTCTACTAATGCAAGTTGCAAACAAAATAATAATGACTTTTCAATTATAGGGGCAATTGATCAAAGGGTGACTTGCCTTGCTCAAGGTCTTCACGAAGCTTCACGAATCTTCGAGGAAACCCGCGATCGACGAAAATCCGATAACCGCAACTATACGCAAACAATCGAAAACCTAAACAAAGGACCAAAAGAAAGATCCTATTTAAACTAATTAGTAGTGCCATTAAATAGATCTCAATTTTACAGAATTACTGGAAGTGGAACGGAGTCAATCGGATGAGCGGTTTGGAATATATGGATTTTCGAAGTTTATTGGATTTACTAATCAAAGGAAAAAGGATTTAATAATTTATTAAACCCTTTTTGGAAAGAAATTGAAGGAGGGATGTGATTTAGACTTACTCGGGCGGCTTAGGCTCGGCCCAAGGGTCATGCGCAGCGCGGTCAGGCCATTGGGCCGGCGCGGGCGCGGGTGGTCGGCCCATTAGGGGCGCGGGGAGAGAGAGGCCGACGCGGGTGGACGCGGTCCACCGCGCGGGACCCACATGGCGGTGGTTGGGTTCACGGTGGGGGGGCGCACGCGGGGGCGGGCGCTAGGGTTTTGGATGCGCGCGGTTCGGGCGCTGCGCGCCGGGTGGACGGATGGCGGTGGGCCCACGTGCAGCCGCACGGTTTGCCGTGGACCGCGCGCACGGGAGGGAGGACGGAGGGAGGAGGCTGACTGGGCGCGACTTGACCCAGTCAAGCGGGCCCGGGGCTGAGGTGGCTGCCACGTGGCCGGCCACGCGGGCAGGGGCGAAAGGGGAGGAGGAGGAGGAGGAGGCGCCCGGGATCGGACGGCCAACGACACGCGAGGCGTTCCGGCGAGCGGTGGCGAACCGGAGCGAGCGGCCAGCACCGGCGGCTAGAGGAGGTCAGGGGGGATCCGTTTAACGGCACGGATTTGAGAGGGGAGGTACGACGGCACGCCGACGTGGCCGCGCGCGAGAAGAGCGAAGGGTGCGCGGGCTCGGGCTTAGCCGAACCGGTATGGTGTTGCGACGCGCACGTGGTGACGCGGGACCCGATGGTCACCGGCGGCGCACGCACGGCGGCGTTAGGCGGCGGCGGAAGCGGCGACATGGCGCGGAGAGAAAGGAGAAGGCCGACGGCCTTGGGACAGCAAGGGGGAGATCAAGGGGATCCCCGAGAGCGTGGTGGCGAGAGGGATTGACAAGAGGGGAGCCGACGGCGGCGGATTTCGACGGCGATCGTCGGCGGCGAGCAAAGGGGGAAAACTTCACCGGGGCAACGGGGGTTCGATTCGTTGGAGCTGGAGCATCTACGCGAGGTCGCGAGCTCATTCCACCGGCCGAGAGGGCACGGGCGACGCCGAGAGAGGCCGGCGACGGCGATCGACGGCGAGCGACGCCCAGGATAGAGCAAGGGCGCGCGGCGAGATGTGACGAACGGCGGCGGGCGCGGCGCGGCGTGCGACAAGGGAAAAGGGGTTCAGTGGGGAGCTCACCGACGAGAGAAACGGTGTCGGCGGCGCGGATGGAGTCGCAGCGAGGCGGACGCGTCGGCGGGGCGGCGCGGCACCGAGAAGGCGCGGTCGGGGAAGAAGAGATGGAGAGGTGCGAGGATGGGGCGGCGCGGAGCTCCTTGTCGACTCCTCGTGC